TTTACCAAATATAAACGACGCCAGTTTATTGACCTGGAATTTTTTGCACATTTCTGCAGCTTTTGCATTTACTTCGTTTTTGATCGAAAATTTCTTTTATACCTGAATTTCTAGATTTTACGTTTTTTATTTTTGTACTTGGTCGGAAATTGGTGGTGAATTTTTTGTGCATTTTTTTAATAGACAGCAAGGGCAAAAAAAAATGTGTACTGTTTAACGTTGCATCAAAAAAAGTGCACTCTGGTCTAAACAGAGCTGACCAGTGGCACGTTATGCCGACATCTCATCATTTACAGAAACTGTACTTTATTTGAGAAGAGGGATTTAGTAATTGGGAAAACAGGGTTATGTACAGACTAACATTCTCATCCCAAAGAGCCCTTGTTAATATTCACGCTTCCAGTATTTAAAACACTGCTGAAGAAGACAACGTAGATTACAATTGTACGACAGCGTTTTGAAGAACACTTTTTTTTTTTGGGATATTTTTAATAATTATCATGACTGAGTGTTGAAAATGCGTGTTTCTTTTCAAGCTCGTTTTCTGTTGTTAGCGAATTTCCTGTCCTGCACAATATTCTCACTGGTCCGTACTCTTTTTTTATTCAGCAAATTGAAGCAAGCAAATATGAAATCGAAATTTTTCGTTTCAGAATTATAGGAAGATGTTCTTACGCTGATTTTCCGCGAATTCTAAATTGTAGCAATAGCGCATTTTCTCTGGAAATAGCCTTTAAATAAAATTCGTTCTTGTGGATTCATAGGATCCTTTTTGATATTTCTTGGTAACTAATGAACGTTCATTTCGCTTCTCCTTGTTAAGTATTAAAAGCAGTACTTTTTTTTTTAAAATAACTTTTTTACCTTTGGGTAAACCTCTATTCTAAATTAACAAAGCGTCTTAGAAATTTAAGGCTTGTTTTATTAAAGGTGACCTTTCAAAAACGAATTTAAAATGGTTTTTTTTAGCCAGATTTTGTTATACATTTTCTGTCAGTTAGTTGGGCTTAAGCAGACCATAAGAGTTCGTTTGGCAAGTTTTTCTTGCAGCTTCGTAACGTGCAGTTTTTTTCTAGGGCTCATTTCACTGGTCTACCCATTACAAGTGATGACACTTAATTATGCAGTGGATAGGTTTTTGAAAATATGTAGTCTTGCAACGACCGCATCTCTGGAGCTTTCCCTAGGTGGTTCCGAATTCTGCTTCTGAACTGGACTGCGATTTTGGCTGTTGCACTGTTTTTGAACTCATATCTGTTATGGTAGCATAACGCAGACACTGGTAGCTAAGATGGCATAATAATAAATTTAATGCGTATTAAGCTGGCCTAGAAACATGTACGGGTCTAGAGCGTGTGGTCAAGACTTGTGAATTTGTGAAAACTAGTGATGAAGGATTTTATATTTTCAGTACAGTATCTTAAAATGAATATTTAAATTGAATTCTGTGAATATAACGAACATGAGTGCAAGCTAGTGGGGCGCAATTTTTGTTACTCAGTATCAGGAAATTACACGATTCTTATCCCTGGAATTCGCGTTCTTGTTTACGTAGGATTTTTTTCTAGTGAAATGGTCACTGCTTAGTATGTGTAACTTGCACTCAGCATCTTCATTAAGGCTCAAAACAACTTTCTGTCTCATCTTCGACAGGAAGTCTGCTCACTGTCACATTCCTGCTGGATAACTGCCAAGAAAATTTCGCCATCCTTGTTGGCATTGGGTACAGCGGGCAACCGATGTCTTTCGGTTATCGAGAGACACGAAGTCAAATTGACTAAATCTTACGATACTGGCCCAAATAAAAAGTTTTTTTTGTACAAGACTTGTATTTTTTTTTGGGAAATCAGTTCAAAAGAGTGCTGAGAATGTAAAGGCTTTTTAATGCATTAAGTTTAAGAAGAGAGCGAAAGTTAAGTGAATCGTATGAGTGAAAGGTGCGTTATTCGAAAGTGCTGTGAATCCAGTACTAGGCGGGAGACTGCAAATGGGATTTTTTGTTTGTTGTGTTTTCTCGGTCCATTCTCACAGCTTTTTTTATTATTATTTTCAAAGCACCAGTAATATAGTTATTTTTTTGATACAGGACGGTAAATAACTCAAGGGCATTTTTGTCGAGGTGTTATTAATTAGCATATATACCTCGAAATCAACTTATCTTGTTAATTTTTTTTTCCTTTTAATTTTCGACCTTATACTGATTACATCGGGTTACAGTTACATTCATTTATTTCTCTTCTGCTGAACAGTTGAGTCTGAAAAATTTTCGCCTTTATCTGTAAACTTAAATACAGTTGTGAAAAGCCGACAGATTTGAATTTGTTGTCCACATGCGACTTGGGAAATCTGAAATGTCTAGATTTACAGGTTCTTTAGTTTTTTGGCTACTTCTCTTGGTTACTGACTTTCTGTCCAAATTGAAAGTGCTTATTTTGTCATAGTGTTTTTGTTTGGGTATCTGCTGGTCCGCTATGACGAAAGGCTTTGAAAAATAGATTGAAAAGTAATTCCATTTTTTGTTGTGTTAATGACCAAGTTCCACTTTTCTGTTTCGTTACTCAGTCATCTACGGTGTTCTACCAGATACCTGTGTCCCCTGACCTTTAGTACTGTGAGCGGTTCGTTTCACTTCTATACGTTTTAGTCACGCCACTGGTACTGTTTGTCTAATTATCTGCGGAAATATTACTGCGTACAGCAGTCGAGGCTGTGGTAGCGTTGGTAAAGTAAATTTCTGACAGCGCAAAATGAAATCGGTGTTCGATATGGTTTTGTTGCAAAAATTATCTTCCTTTGTGAAAATAAGTATAAATTGTTCTTGTTTTAGAATATTTTTCGTCTTTTGATCTTTTCTTATTTAGAAAGACTTCTTGCCAATCCTAGTCTTAGGTATTGCTTGGCTGTGCCTCAAACGATTTTTAAGGAAGCATTCACTGTCGAAATTTCTAAGGAAAATATTTAGGACTCCCAATTCCGAAGGATTTGTTGGTGAATTTTGTTCGTGACTTTGTGTAATAAAGGCTTCTAATGGTACTTGTATTTATTTCCAATATTTTTAAATAGAACTTGCCGTGATATTGTATTTTCAGTCCTGGTGCTTCGAAAAATTTTCAGCAACTGTTTTAGTAACAGTCACAAGGGATATTCATTTTTTTAGAGGGTAAAAAATCTCAAGGCAAAAGAGCATGAAAAAGTCAGTTTTAAAAATAAAGCTGCTGAAAAAATCACTGTATTTTCACATTTGGAACTAATTAAAAGGTCACTAAACGTTTTGGAATTAAAAGGTTTTTGAATCAAAACATGTGCCAGTGTTCCAGCATTGTGAAGGCAAAGCTTTAGGTCGATCGCAGTCTTTCCAAAATATATCATATCATTCATAATTTCATATACTCTGCCGAGTTACTAACTTTATCTGCTTTTTTCATGAACTTCTACGCAGTTTATTTCGTGTTCGTATGAAGCGTATTTCAAAAAGCAGGCATTAACGGAAGGCTGATTTCTACTTTTTTTTTTTTAGTTGAGTCATGAGACTCTATTCGAGTATATTGAGTACGAGAATTTTGGGTTGGTAATACAAGTGAAGGACAGGTCAAGGATTTGAAAATTTAAAATTTGGCACTGTTTTAAGACGAGGCTTACGGGAAAGTTGTTAGGTTGTGGACTTGGAAATTGGTAAAATCAAACGGGGCAAAAGTTAGAGAAAATTATTCTGTTCTACTAACAGTCTACTCAATTAACACGGTCATTTAAATGTAGAATATTCCTTTTTGGGTTTCGTGCTAAGTTTTGAGGCAGTGGAATTGATAATTCAAGAGTTATGCGGCATCATTGAAAGAATCGGAATTTTGAGTTTTTGCTTCGATGCCTTCGTATAATTAGTCCTATTTTTCCTCGATCTTTTTTCTTTAATTCTTATGATGATTTTTTCAAGCTTGGTCGCATGCCCTGTTAAAAAGATTTTTTGTTGTGGAGACCACTCCACACTACTGCTTTGGTTGAGAAATAGTTTAAAATGGGAAAGCTGGGATATTGGTGGTTGTTATCAACTGGAAAATTGTATATGCTGTGCTAAATGGAGGGTTGTAATCTTTCAAAAAAATTTGTTTGCTTTATAGTGTCCACTAAAAAAGATCTTTTTGTTATTGTTTGTTTTTGTATGGTTCGCCTTACGTAGTCTGCAGAGTCATCGTAATTTCAGAAACATCTGTGTAACCTATATGGAGCATAGCTTTCAAGTGTGTATTTTTGCGCGTTTCATATCACATCACAACTGATAACGGTTTGAAAATGAGGTTTTGAAGTCTTAAGAGTTCCTATTCTGCCATGTGGAAATTTTCGCCTCAATACCAACCATTCTTGGTCACGCCTAGGACTCATCAGTTCACTACTTGATTTGGCAGGAGATTTATTAATCATTGTTTAGAAACAAACATCAGGGGCTTATTTATCAGAAGTTTACTCTTCCCAAAAAACACTTCACATTTGCACTGGGTTCTTTAAGTAGTTAACCGTTGTGAAAACTGTTTCGAAAATGACACTTTTGGTAGTTTCCTTCGTAGATTTTTAACTTCTACTTTTCTCGAGAGGTGTTTTCCATCAAGAAGGCAGTAGGCTGTATGGACAACTGGTTCTTACGTTTCTTAATGGTTAGCATACGAATCATAAGCTCGCACTGATATGGCAGTAGAATAAAAGATAAATTAAGGCTAAGATTATTCTTGAAAATTGCTACTGCGAAGTTTAAAAAATTCTTTTTGAACAGGGTCTGGATTTGATGTTGTGAAAATGTTTACGTGGGAAGGTTTCTCGCATAACTGGAGTCTGTGGAAACGAAAGGCTTAGGTCCTCCCAAATTTTACCCGATCGCTGTGCAAGAACTCCTGAAGAGTTTTCAGAGCCACTCTTAATAAAAAGTGGAATTGTGTTCTTAATTGCTTCACAAAAAAGCATTGCTTTTTTCAATCTTTCGACTTATTTTTTGTTTCAGGCTGTGAGATATAATGAAGAGGATTTTCGGGACATCAGCAAAGAAAGAGCCTCCTCCGAGCCTTACGGATGCAATTGCAAATATTGATTCACGTGGCGAAAGCATCGACAAGAAAATTGCAAAATTAGAAGCTGAGCTAGTCAAGTACAAGGATCAAATGAAAAAAATGAGAGAGGGACCTGGCAAGAACCAGATAAAACAAAAGGCTTTGAGGTGAGGCAGACAAAAATACTAGTGTATTTTACGTCTGTAGGATAGCTTGTTCTGCGTATGCAGACTGGTATCTAGTTTTCATCTTTTTTTTTTTTTGGTGAGAAGTTTTCTTTTTTGTAAAAATGCCGCTTTGAAAGTTCTCAATTTTCAATAGGTAGACTACAATGCTTAACGTTTAAGCTGTAGATGAACTAAATTAACTGGCTTTTGTGTAAGTATGTGATTAGCGTGCGTTTGCAATTCCTCAGTGATTGTACATCGGACCACTGTTGGAATTGCAGGCCAGCATTACCTGTGGCTGTGTGTACACTACGCGTTTATCCCTAGTTCTTAAAAATGTCCTAAGAACGCCCCGGTGGGCCTTCTTTGTAAAGAGTGTTGATTACTAGCGCGAACCCTGTAGGTTAAAATGAATACGTTCAAGCTCGTTTTTAAGCCACTGAATTTAGCGCCGCCGTCGGTTACGCTGATGATTTAAGAATTTTAAGTACAGAGAACTAAAGCAGAGAGAAATAAGAAAAGGCTTATTTTTTTTTTTTTGGAGCTGTGAAATAAAGTTCATGTTGTGATTGGTCTTCATCACTAAACATTTTTTGGAATTTACGATCTACATTTAGCTTTTTTAGAATTCTCAAGCAGAAGAGATTATACGAAAATCAGCGGGACCAGCTTTCACAACAATCCTTTAACATGGAACAGAGTAATTTTGCTATTCAGGGCATGAAGGATACTCAGGTTTTTGTTGCTTAAGTTTTTTTTGTAGGTGTGCTCATGCTCGTGTTTAGCAGGCTTTTTTTTTTTTTTTTTTTTTTTTTTTGCTTTTCGTGTAAGTCTTTCTCACATAAAAATTATTCAGGCCACAGTTGATGCAATGAAGATGGGTTTGAAAACAATGAAAAAAGAATACAAAAAACTGGATATTGATAAGATCGAGAATTTGCAAGACGAAATGGAAGATATGTTAGACCTAAACAACGAGATACAGGAAGCGATGTCGCGACAATATGATACCCCAGATGTACATATTTATGAATATTAAGCTCTTGTTAATATACGCCAGAATTTCATTTGTTGAACTTCGTTTTTCTAGGTCACTAAACAGGCATATGTGCTTTTGGTCCCTATGCTTATGAATTTTTTACTTTGGTTTCTAACAGTAATGTTGAATAATTTAAGAAGTTTGGGAGACTAACTCGTGGTGCATTCAGTATGATTAATCGTGACTGGTCAGATTTTATTTTACAGATTGATGAGGCTGACTTGGAAACCGAATTGGAAGCGCTTGGAGAAGAATTAGAATTGGAAGGGGACAGTTCCTATTTAGACGAAGCACTAAATGCTCCAGGTGTGCCATCAAAAGAGCCTGGTGAAGGCACTAAGGTTATTCTTAAGATAAATTGTTGAATAACATGTTTAATATTAACTTTTTTAGGATTACTTTATTTGTTCAGGTCACGGCAGACGGTATCGCAGTGGACGAATTCGGTTTGCCAAAAGTTCCTGCTCACAACTGACGTGGTCCTTTATGACGTTTGTTACTTAGTATTCTGCCGACAATCACATTTCTTTTTAAAGAGAGTTTTCCGTTTATTGGTCATTTTTGTTGGGTGAGCTGTACGTTGTTATCAGTCCTCATAAGCAGGTTTTCAGTGTTTTATGTACATTTTCATGTATCCATATGTGTCTTGTTTTTTCTTCGGAAACTTCGGCTTTGAGAAACTTGTGGATAATCTATGTGCATTTCTTCTCCACGAATCTGTCGACCCCGTGAAGTTTTTTGGAAAAGTTCAGAAGTGACATATAAATCATAAGTCGTGATGATTAGGATACTCTAAGGAAAGCCGTTGGTTTTTTTCTAAGAGAGTGAATGATTGTTTTATCCGCATTTATAGAATAGTCCACATGTGCTTTAAATATTCTTGAGGTAGTCTGCTTTGTGCTCTGGAGAAGTTTTGCTCCAAGTCTACCCCAAAATTGGTGAAATTTTGTCGGGTTAAAAAAACCCAGGTTGTTTCGAATTTGCCATATTTTTGACAGAAAACCTATCAATTGTGGTGGGTTTGGTACTGTTTAACCCAAAATTTTAGGATGTTGAATGGAAGTATTAGAAGGAAATTAAGGTTTGTCTGTGTTTGGGCTTAAGTCAGTAGTGTATTATTGTTCGTGTAAGTATGAAATTTGTTTGCATCTGTTGCTAGTCATGGGTTTTTTAAGTTAATGGAGAGGCATTGAGCTTGGAAGTAAAAGTGTTTATGCTATATGGAACAAACATTTCAAAGTTATTGTTATTATTAGCAGTTGCCGATCTGTGTTCCCCGCCATGATTATAACTTTGAGTCTTCTACTAGTAATAGAATTTCTGTGATTCTTTCTTTAAGACTTGAAAGGGAATTGTTGTGCGTGCCATTTGTAAAACATTGGTTACAGTAACCTTTTTGCAGACGGCTACTTCATTCCGTTGTGATAAATCCTTATAGAGTTATGGCTTAAGCAATATATGAGTGAGTTATCAAGAAATAATAAATTTTAATTAGGAAGAGGAACTTATGACACGGGTGCTTTCGGTGACAGTTGAAATCAAAAGAAATTTTTTTTATGTTCCAGTACTCTAATAAATGGTGTCACTAGTGAGCCTCAAAAAGCCATTCGCACTCCGTAACTACTTGTAACAAACGGTAATGGAAGGTGACCCTTGGTTTGTGGCTTGTTATCGTTATCAAAGTGCATCAAAAAAGTTTGTGGCTCTCAGGACTTGTGTCACATGAGGTTTGCTATGGCACAAGCGAAACGGACAAAAGAAACATTACTTGGGACAGACTTGGAGCGCGCTAAACTCAGCGAGACCCTTTGCGTAGGTCTCCTTTGAACTTTTACGTCGTTGATAATCTGGCTTGCATCTGTTGTTTTATGTGTCTTACAATTTTGGTAAAAGCACCACGGCAGTTTCGAGAATAGTGTAGTAGGTAATAAATATGAAGAGTCATTGGTATTCTCACGTCAGTTCACCCTGGGCACTGTAGGACGGCTTGAATCCACAGTGGTATTTACAATCTCTGCATTTCCCAGTGAGCCGCTGAAAAAGATTCAAAGCAAGCTTTTAAAGTCGCTTGTGTCGCGGTGTTATCACAACTGCTTTAATCTTAACTTCTAACCCACTAGTGAAGTTCTACAATCGGTAACATACTGAAAGTCGTAAGCGCTATACCAAAATTTCATATGCATAATTTTACCAAATTTGCAGGTGAAGCAAGAAAGTGATCCATTAGTTGAAAATGCACTTTGATAACGAAATGGCTTGACATGAATTTAGTCAACATTGTAAGGGACAAAAAATTAGTTTACAAGGACTTTCTCTATTTTTTTTTTCTTGTCGAAGTGAGTAATTATGCGGAAAAGAAACAGGTAACAAGTTTTACAGAATACTGAATATTTTTTTTGAGTTCCGACACAGGGAGACGTTGAAGGACTAATATTAAACAGAGTGAGAAAAAGCTAGTGCGATGAAACTTTTTAAGTCAAGTTCTAATTCTCTATGAGTCTTCAAAAGCCGAAGGAGTTTGGATCGTCTGCTTGAAGTGGTTGGTTTCAAAGGAAATTAGTAACCAGAATAACAGATACATATGTGGGTAACAAGAAAAATATATTTTTTATGAATAGGTTATCAAAGTTTCAGTGAACTAGAAAATGATAACAAGGAATAATGACTAAGGGAAGCAGAAACAGCTGTTATAAACAGAATAAAGCAGGATGTATCAGAAGTAAAATCCAAAAAAATTGTTTTTTGAGAAGTCACCGTTTTTGATACCAGCTCTCGTACTTTTGCCCACTTCACAGCAGTTTGTTTCATCTGTAACGATACTCTCCATTAATGAATGATGGCGTTACAGCATCGCAGAATTCGCTTTGATCTTACTTTTACGTACATCTGATGAGGATATGGGAGCTATTACCAGGATAACGGCCGACCGGGCCAAATCTTGCTAGGCGAAGCTTGCCAAGTCTGCAATCAGACGGTGTTGATTGTACGTTTGAAGTTCGTAGCACTAATGCCAAACGCGATCTTGGCGCTTTCATTTTACAGATTTTTGTAACGCTCTAATTACTGCGTTGATTCAAACTGATTAGAATAATTCAAATTATTAAAATCAGTATAATAATGTTGCTTCAGCAGGTAGAACTTCTTCAACTTCTAAATACAAAAGGAAACAAATAAATTAAATAAAGCTGCTAAGAGCACTATGTTACTTCTCTTGATCCTTTAAGGTTTACCAAAATTTAGATTCCAAAACAAGAATAAGACCATATAACTCCTCTTCGCGACCACACCAGCTGACGGAATAGATTGGTTAGCTGCGAAATAAAAAAAAGTGCGAAGTGCTGTTATATATGGAAGGAACAAGTAAGTTTCCTGAACAAAAAAAAAGGTTTAGTCAAAGAGGCTATGAACTGTAGCGAGGGTAATGACATGATTATAATTTTAGAAAGTTGTGGAATTTCGATGAAATTCGAAGCAGAAGTGTACATCACAAAAGTGCGGAAGTTGTAGGTAAAAAAGAAATTTAGCAAGTGATTTTGGTGAGGAAAGATGTATCCAAAAAAAATTTGTCAAAGTCCTACTTTTCTTTTGGTTTCAGGCTCAAATGCCATCCTCAAGCTCAATTCTGTAAAAGTAAAGCCACCTTTCAAAAGAGACTTTGGTGAGGAATCTGAGTCGAGTCAGCTCTCAACTGCAGAAATGAATTTTTTACTTAGCTGCTGAATTTAATCCTGAAGTAGTTCTAGGGAGGTCCTATCGGAGTAATTTCTTTGAAAAAAAAAAAGATCTGAGTGGCATAATATGTACAGGGTTTTCAGAAAGATGCAAGACAGTTCAATGGGAAGGTGTAGTAAATTTTCATTAACCGTGGGCAACGGTTATAGCCTCGTAGATCAGGAGAACGAAACATCTACGGAGATCAAAAAATGGCTAGGAGCAATGCAGAAATACGAAGGAACGAAAGTTACAGAGGAAATGCTGCAGCAGTTATTTAGAAAATTAAACTGTCAAATATAAAAAAGGTTTTGAAGGAAGTTGTTTTTGAAAGAGTAATATACTTTCTTAATCATTCAACATAAAGTCTCGTTTTCAAAAATAGATGCCAACGCAAACAAGCGGTTTCTGTGATATTTTTTTTTCTCTTTTTTAACAACTTATACTGCTATTCCGTATCTATATTATTTTTAGATGTGTTTTGCACACCAAAGACAATAGCTGTACTTCGAATATTTTGGATCTTACAGATTGTCAAACAAATGATAACTGCAAGCAAACGTAGTCCATCCAGAAATAAGAGAGGGATGTGCAGGATTTGAAGAATGTTGAGCTCATGAAAGAAGTAGTTCCTCCATTTCAAAAAAAGGTGCAGGAAAAATCTAGAAAGCAGTTAGCTTCTGGCTCCGCTGCCAAACGAAATAAAAACGTCAGATCCGCGCAAATTTTAACTTCTCTAATAAAAATTTGATTAAATAGCTGGAGTGCTTATCTGACCTAAGCAAATAAAATATTAAAGCAGCAAACGAATAGACAACAGAACCACTACTTTCCTAAATTTACAGAAGGTATTTATCGTCACCTATTGGTTTTAGGAAAATTTGGATTTACTTCACACTACAAGCGCTAATAAGCGTGCAGTCTATGAAAATAGCAGTTCCTTTTTCCATGTCTTCCGCCGACAGGGGTACTTCAGTATAACCACCAAAAACACTTCTCGTCGTCCTTCACTTGTTTTCTTTTTGGGATTCTGGACGGAAACACCTGTTCAAATCCTCTCTGCCTTGAGTCTTTGGTCTTATTTTGCACTCTTAACAGTATCGAAATATATCTGTATTACGGTAGCTGTAAAACCGATCCAGAAATATCAATGGTATGAACCAGCCGTAGGAATCTTTGGTAAATCTAAAGAAGCTGCAGATACGATGCAGGAGAGATTTGCTTCCAGCATTGTACATTTCCTGAAGGTATTGCTCTGTGAACATTAAAGTTTGAACGAGTAGATTTTATAGTACCGTATTCCAGCGATGCCTTGCAGTAAAAGTGTCAAGAAAACTGGCAGGTCAGCGATTTTCATCTGAAAGTCGTGTTAATCAAGACAAGAAAATTCTGCATCAACAGAACCAGTTCGTAGCAGTGTCAGCAAAAACGATAAATTCGACTCTGGGTTTTTTTAATCAACAGTTCCGGTAATTACCATTTCTGAAAGTTTTCAGATTAGTTAAAATGCGTTTATGTGGAAGAATTTTTTTAGAAAACACAACAACTAAATCAGTCGTTGCTGTTTAGTGTCGTGGTGTGTGGAGTTCACAGTGAAAACCGGACAGAGTCTCTTACCGAGGATGGCAAATTGCCAAGGAAGCGAAAAACTTCGCAGAGCGGAGTGGTCGGCAGCAGTGAAATGGGCACAAAGGCAACGGGGGTGACTGTTTTTCTGCTATTTTGCTCGAAATTGACTCTTATACGTTTATACAAACATTTGTTTCCTTGCATTCTCCTCGTTACTGTACTGGTACTTTTACATTAAGAGCTTAGCGGTTTTTTAGTCATTAATCAAGTTCCTTTCTTGTCATTTTTGCCAAGCATACTCCCGTTTTATCCTTTTTTTTTCTTAGCCGATATTTATGGTGTTAGTTATTTTTCAGAGTAGAAGAAATCTGAATTGTTGAGGCACCTGCCGTTTAGCTAACAGTTTTAAGTCTTTTTTTTTTTTTGTCTTCAGATCGTCTTGATTAAGCTGTAAAGCTAAAGTTGTAGAGAAACGATAATTAGATAACGATCTGTATTGAAAGGTGCCCAGATGTTTAGCTGCACTTGTGGTGAAGTCGTTTTTTTTTTTTTTTTTTTGATTTTGATTCTGTTATATTGTACCTGTAAACTTATTGTCCTATGTGATAAGATCTTCATTTTACATTGTTGCAACAGTTGATGGAAATGATTTGCAAAGTAATTGGTACCTTGAGTTAGATAAACCCTGTAGCAGTTTTACAAAGCAAATAAAGTTTTTAAAATAACAAAAAAAAAAGGTGCTTCTAGGTTTGTTATTGAATTAGCATTTTCTTGGAGACTTGGCGTTTTAAGGGCCTAGAAAAAATATTGTTTGAGCTTTGTTCTAAATACTTGTTGAATCTAATTTTTTTCACTTTTTGCTTTGCGGTAATTTTTGTTAACACTAATTTTCGGGTTTATCATTTTTTCTGTTCTGGGAAAAACACAATAATTTTTTTTTTGTTTTATTGGAACCATGGCATCTGCTGAGGAGAGGAAGTTGGAGCTGGAAAGGAAGAAGCAAAAACTGGCGGAGATACGAGAAGACAAGAGGAGGCGAGAAGAACAACGGCGATTAAATATGTTACGTAATACCCAGCAGGAAAATGGAACTGGTCAGTCTGCAGCAATTTTGCTGTGTTCTGTGTGAAAATTAGTTTTTTAATGCTTTGAACTTTTTTTTTTTTTGTTTTGAAGAGGGGGAGTGGGAGGGGTCATGGTGTAGATGATTAGGCCGTCCTTTTTACCAGTTTTTACATTTGAGCGATGTAAACAGTGGATGTCAATGAAAAGTTTTGGAGCAGTTGTCATTATTGACCTCTAGGAAGCTTGGATTTTTT